CCGCCGCGACCTCCTCTGCCGCCACGGCCACCAAAGCCGCCGCCGCCACGGCCACCAAAGCCGCCAAAACCGCCTCCGCCGCGGCCTCCACGGAAACCACCTTCACCCTTGGGCTTGGCGTAGTCCAGGGTCACCTTGCTACCATCGATTTCACCGTCCTCCATGGCTTCCTTGGCTGCCTTGCAGTCATCCTCGTTGTCAAAGTCCACAAAGCCAAAGCTAAAGAGAAAATAGTCAGTTCACTTTATGTCAAAGACCACCAGACAGACAAGGGTCGCTGCGATCCAAAACCTGTAATTGCACAAGTAGCACTTCTCTCAAGTTTGATTTCTTGTACATTGTCTCACAAAGACGGGAAACACTTATACAAAGTAGCAGCTGTAAAAACGTACCCTTTAGAAGACCCTGTATCTCTGTCTGTGACGATCCTAGCACCCACTGAGCCATCAAACGCATCTTTGAGGGTTTGATCCGTGGTTTCTTCTGAGAGACCCTTGACAAACAAAGTCTTTGTCGGACCTGGTAAAAATGCAATCAAAATGTTAAGGATCATTTGGACGTGTAACAAGACAAGCGCCAAGCTGAGGTGTGCAAGACCAGATCAGGACTTGACTATCTGAATTCATCACAGAGTTCCAGGAGATCAAGTTTTCATCATATCTGATCAGGAATGGGTATTGCCTGGATTTTAATCAAACAGGTTATCAATCCAGTACTTCAACTGTATTTTTTGAGTTTAGAAAACCATCAACACAAAAACAGAACTTTTTTTTTAAATTGCAACTATAACGAATACATAAAACAATTATCCAATTTTATTTGAACAAATTACTATTAAACCATGTTAAAAAAAAAAAACCTTGAGCAATAATGGTGGAACATGCTTCTGGTCTCCAAAAAGCACTTCAGTAAAGTGGGATTGGGGGGGTGATACTGCAGTTTTAAAAAATTAGTTCGTACCTGGACTGGTACCCATTCCCATGTCTGACTAACCAAAGAATCCAAGTGTCCTGTTTGAAGACCTACCAGAATTCCCCCTGCCTCCTTCTGTCCTGCCACCGCTGTTCTGGCTGAACTCAAGTCGGATTGAGCGGCCTTCAATCTCTGTGTTGTTCAGTGTGTCCAAGGCTTCCTTTGCATCTTCTGCGCTGTCAAACTCTAAAAATGCAAAACTGTGGAAGACAGAGAAAATGACCATGCGGGTTTCAAACGATACAAAGTCACCACGTGTTAAACACTTTTAGCACAGCAGACATGGCCAGTAACCTCATGGGACTGCGGTGAGGTCGACCATTGGGAAAAATGTCAGCCTTTCGAGCTGCTTTGTCTTGTTAATCTCTAATTTTCCCTAATAATCGAAAAATCTATCGCAAATAACATCTAATAAAGCATGTACTCTAAAAACAGGCATCATAAGAGAGTTGGAGCACTTCACACTTAGCATCAAACAGATATTGGGGAATGGTGAGCTAAATATGGATTTAGAAATGCAATTTAGCTTTGCGAAAACATGTTGCAGGTATCTCATTGAGATGTCATGGTTATTTCAAAATTACAGTAGTATGTACTCAATGCATGGGAAGTACTGTGCTGAACTACATATTGAGAGCACTCAGCTAGTTTGACTACCCCCTAGTGGACAAAGAGTTGACATGGATAATACAAGAAGCGACAAACATCACGTTAGTATTTCTCGCCATTCAGTACAATTTTTCACCCTGCGATGTCTTATGTCATTCGCTATTGGCTGCTGTACATGGCAACCATGTAAACTCCATCCAGCTCCTGACTCGGGAGCTTAATTTTAGTCTTTTGGGCAAAAATGCTTAATTTTAGTCTTTCCTATCCATGTTTTAGTCTAGTTTTATTCGGGGGGACAATTACTCTATCTCTGGATACTCAGTAAACATCTCCAGGTGAATACAAAGCATAGGTATATCTTAAAATAATGTACGTTTAATTAACTTACTAACCACATGGCAGCCTGTAACTAAGCCTTCTATTTCATTCTGAGCAATTACCAAAAGTACAATGTATCAGTAATGTATTTCAAAAGCATTAGCAGCATTTTAATAGTTAGTGTAACACTTACTTTATCCTCAGAGCTGACAAGTGTGGTGATTTTACACTCCAATTTTTTATCACCAACCTCAGAATAATTCACACATTTCATCATGAAAAATAAAGAGAAATAGTCTGCTTCAATTCCTACATGTACTTTAATCTACTTTTAATAATTTGATTATACGCAAAAGATAATTGACAGTAGCCATGTTAGCTCAACCAAAACAACTTCAGCTTTAAACTTTTAAGGTTACAATGAAATTTATTCACAAGACGGCTGTCGAGTAAGATTGAATGCTAGCAAATGCAGACAGTACAATATGTTCACAGGACTAGCTGCATTTTACCTGCGGAAAATTGGCAAACCTGGCACTATTAAAATGCTGCTAAACTGATGCTTTTAAAATACATTATTTGACTTTCTAATACAATTGGTGAAAAGCAACACAGGTATAAAGACTGAGCTTTCAATAATGGCAGAGATTAACATACCAAGTGAAATGGGAACCAGTTTAAAAATCACCACCTTCAAGGTTTATTCATCGAGAAGATTAGATTCTCTGATGGGAAACAGTCAACACACTACAAATATGTTACACAATTGAGAGGTGCAGTCATTTTCCATCTTGAACAGAGCACATCCCGACAATATCATCGCCATTACACCAAACTCTGGAGGACTGAAATCCTAACAAAATGTTTTACACATTACAGTAAGACTAAAGCAAACTAAATGACAAAACGAAAATGTGGATACACGTGTAGTTCTTTACAAAACGGTAAAATAGAAATTATACAAACGGTTTAATTTATACATGTATCGGAAGGGGCAGTGGGGGGAATCTAGCCTCAGTTTTCACAGCAAACTTATTTTGACAGATCCAGACCCATTCCGTCTTTCTCTTTTAGAATTACAAACTGAAGAGGTGGAGGGGTGCAGGCGTTTATTCCGGACATTCAGTACTCATGTGAGTCGAAAAGTCAAATGTACCACTTTGGCACAGAGGGCGGGTAAAGTTGGAGGATTCTAAATACAAGGGCTAAAATGCCCGTTTACAGTTAAATATTTATCAATGACGCTTTCTGGAATGTCCAAAAGCTCTGAAAACTGATGAAACCAGAGTCCATTCAAAAAGTAAAAAAACAAAAACAAAAAAAGACTATTTAGTCATCAAATGTAATTTTCTTCCCTTGGGGCTTGGCTCCAAATCCTCCACCACCTCGTCCACCTAAAGAGATAATAGTTAAGTCAACACATGTTTCTATTCCTGAAACACCCTCGACAGAGGGAACTGGGAGGCAAATGACCAAAGATGATTAGTTTTGGTCAATTCTAATATTTGATAAATATACAACTTGAAGCCTAAAAGTGACACTTACCTCCAAAGCCGCCAGGGTCACCTTGCTACCATCGATTTCACCGTCCTCCATGGCTTCCTTGGCTGCCTTGCAGTCATCCTCGTTGTCAAAGTCCACAAAGCCAAAGCTAAAGAGAAAATAGTTCACTTGATGTCAAAGACCACCAGACAAGGGTTGCTGCGATCCAAAACATGTAATCGCACAAGTGGCACTTCTCTCAGTTTGATTTCTTGTACATTGTCTCACAAAGACGGGAAACACTTATACAAAGTAGCAGCTGTAAAAACGTACCCTTTAGAAGACCCTGTATCTCTGTCTGTGACGATCCTAGCACCCACTGAGCCATCAAACGCATCTTTGAGGGTTTGATCCGTGGTTTCTTCTGAGAGACCCTTGACAAACAAAGTCTTTGTCGGACCTGGTAAAAATGCAATCAAAATGTTAAGGATCATTTGGACGTGTAACAAGACAAGCGCCAAGCTGAGGTGTGCAAGACCAGATCAGGACTTGACTATCTGAATTCATCACAGAGTTCCAGGAGATCAAGTTTTCATCATATCTGATCAGGAATGGGTATTGACTAGATTTTATTCAAACATGTTCTCGATCCGGTACTTCAAATGTATTTTTTGAGTTTAGAAAACCATCAACATAAAAATAGTACAATTTTTAAAAATTGCCGTGCAACTATAACGAATACATAAAGCAATTATCGAATTTTATTTGAACAAATTACTATTAAACCATGTTAAAAAAACAAAAAAAAACAAACCTTGAGCAATAATGGTGGAACATGCTCTTCTGGTCTCCAAAAAGCACTTCAGTAAAGTGGGATGTACATTTTCTGTTTGTTGCGCTTCCTTGTGACTCCCCCTGTCCCTCTCCAGGCATTACCACGCAAAATAAGAATAACCCAACTTTTTACTTGAGTCTAACAGTTGCACTGAGGGGAAACCAGTCATGCCAAGAGTGAAACACTCAGACGCTACATTCACAGCAACAGAGCTGTCGCTGTGTTGACTACATGATGGGGGGAAAAAATGATACTGTAGTTTTAAAAAATTAGTTCGTACCTGGACTGGTACCCATTCCCATGTCTGACTAACCAAAGAATCCAAGTGTCCTGTTTGAAGACCTACCAGAATTTCCCCTGCCTCCTTCTGGCCTGCCACCGCTGTTCTGGCTGAACTCAAGTCGGATTGAGCGGCCTTCAATCTCTGTGTTGTTCAGTGTGTCCAAGGCTTCCTTTGCATCTTCTGCGCTGTCAAACTCTAAAAATGCAAAACTGTGGAAGACAGAGAAAATGACTATGCGGGTTTCAAACGACACAAGGTCACCACGTGTTAAACACTTTTAGCACAGCAGACATGGCCAGTAACCTCATGGGACTGCGGTGAGGCTGTTCAAACTGTGCACTGGCTCTGCTTCTCGTGCGAATCCATACACAATCATGGCAAGATTGTCAGGAGCTCATGAGAAGGTGCAATCAAACGGTGTGTCACAGATGTTGCCAAAGGGTTTACATACCCTTTGGGTCGACCATCTCTCTGTGGGATTCTAATGGAAACGGCTTTCTCAAACGTGGACTGCAAGGCCTCTTCTGTGGCGCTGAAGGATAGATTATTCACCACTAATGTCTTGCTGGCTGCAGCTGCAAGACGCGACAAGATGGACATTAGAACACTGAGTAGATGCTCTTTCATCCTCTTCGTTCAACAAGTTTACAAAAGGGGAAAGCAATTTGCTCTGTATTTACCCGTGACCTTTGCGCCTTTTTGGCTTTTTTCTCCGACAAAGTCCAGCATAATGGACCTCCCCTGAATATCGGAACCCTGTGCCTCTTCCAGCATCTTCTCTGCTTCAGCCTCAGTTTTGAACTCGATGTAGGCGATTCTGGAGAAGACCATGAAACATTTCATTCAAGCTGGGTGATTTGTATTTTTATAGTGTCTCGAGTGAAAGCTCCCTTACCCTCTATTGGACCCATTCTGGCCAACTGGCAACCTGACATCAACTGCATCTTCGAAAACCTCCTTTAAGTCATCAACCGTGGCACTAAAGGGAAGGTTTTTAACAAAAATGGTCCGCGAGTCCCTTTCTGAGGACAGACAAAGTCAACATTGTAAATAAAGCCATTCTATTTGATGTGGTGTGCAATTGGACACCAACGGCACCTTTCTTGCAATCCTGGGAGTTCTCCTTGCTTCTAGCCTTATCCAGCTTAATTTCTTGACCCATAAGCTTTTTGCCGTTGAGTTCCAGTGCCTTCTGCATATCCTCCTCGCATGAAAACTCGACATAGCCGAATTTCCTGTTGAAGAAAGTCATGCAAGAGACGCTTTTTAAAAAAAATGATACTTTAGGAAGCCCAGCAGAACCACAACACGAACAGAAGTTTATTGGTCACCAAGAAATTAATGGGAAGGTTTGCTCTTCAAAACAGCAAGCGAAAAGTGAAAGAAGCATGATTCAAAGTATTATATGCTATATGGATATCTAGACTGAGACAAGTGTGGTACTTAAAATTAAAATTTGGACATATTAACAGTTCGCCTTAAGCCGGTATACCTTTACCATGCCAGCGTCCGATAATTCAATGCAATTTGGACATATTAACAGTTGGACATTTTGATCACAGTGCATTAGAACATTACACTTCAGTGAAATTTTTACAACAGAACCAATTATTTACAGGGTAGAAAAGGACAGACTGGTCCTCGAGTAAATCAGATCACCTCGGTTAAAATAACCAATCGTTTTACCCAATAATATAGTATCAATGATTAGGCCGGCTTTCATTTTGCACTGTTGGAGCTTTTGAAAAAGACAGCATCATTTCTGAGGAGCCGCACGGCAACGAGACAGACCGACAATGACGCGAGGGAACCTGGCGTGTCTGGTGTAGAACTTGTCCATCTGTTCAATTCGGATACAGAATTGAATAATATAAAAATAAATAACGAAGTACTTAACAATGCACTCACAAGTACAACCGAACTCAGTTTTGCAACCGCCTTAAGCCTATATACCTTTACCATGCCAGCGTCCGATAATTCAATGTACCTCGTGTATGTGTAATACAGAAATGGCTCCCGTAACTGCCTTTTAATATGATGGGGCGTCAAAATACGGTGTGTTAATTGAATTTGGAACAAAATGCCTTACTTGCTTGCACCTAACCGGATATCAGCAACCTCAATGTCATTCTTGGTGAAGAATTTCCTCGCCGCATTTTTGATTTCATCAAAGTCTTTGCTTGAGTTCAGGTTGCCAATAAAAAGACAGAAACCTTTAAGACAAGATATTAAATGTACTTTAGTACAGGTGACATGAGCAAATCTCAGTCATATTCACAAAAGGACATTTGATCAACAAGTTAGAACATGCTTACGACCTTCTTCTGACTTGGCCTTTTTGGCAGGAGGTGTGTCCTTCTTGCCATCTGCCTTCCTCTTCGCAGGAGTCACCGGGGCTTCTGTTAAGTGAAGTTGCACAGTTAAAATTCAATCTTTCAAATTTCAATGTTAATTGGGTTGGTGGCGTGTCCAATTCTGCAGACAATGACAAGTTCCATCCGACCCTGTAGGATTATGATTTCTCTGCCAGACCTACTGTGAAATGGGTACTTGAAAGATGGATTTATTGTGACATCTATAAAATGGACCCTTCCAAATTCCCAACTGTCCAACCGCTTATTAAACGGGGGGCAATAACGACTTAGATTAGTTGGATTTCATGCCATAACTCACCCTCATCATCTTCGTCATCATCCTCCTCTTCCTCCTCATCATCATCATCATCATCATCTTCGTCGTCGTCGTCCTCCTCCTCTGACTCCTCCTTGGCTTTTACCATGCCCGCCTTCTTTGCCTTGGCAACTGCTGGAGCTGGTGTTGTGTCCATTTCCTCTTCTGACTCTGAAACCCACAGAAAGCCATTCAGCCACGTGGACAAAATAGTAGCCAAGTGCAAACAGCATGATAACTATATCAGATACATAGTAAGGTGACATCACTAAGATTTCAGTATTAAGTCCCTTGTTGATCATCACTTGCAAAATCCACAAACTTCTTAAAGACCCGTGCGTTGATTTACCATCTTCTTCGTCGTCGTCGTCATCATCCTCCTCCTCCTCCTCCTGTTTAGCTTTCTTAGCCTTTGACTTAGCAACTTGATTTGCAGCCTTTTTGGGAGGAGGGGCCTCTTCCTCAGATTCATCATCATCATCGTCGTCATCCTCCTCCTCATCATCAGAGGGCTCCTTTGCAGGTTTGGCCTTCACTTGCTTGGCAGGGGCCTTTGCAGCAGACTTAGCTGCTTTCTTGGGTGGTGGGGGCTCATCCTCAGACTCTTCATCTAGAGACAGCACACCAAATCAGCAGGTTCTCCCAAATACTACAAAGTAAGATGCAATTTTGAAAGCATTCTTCATGTCACAGCGATTGAGGATAGAACTGGTGGACAATAAAACACACCAGCACCGAAGACATAGCGCTGTTGTTACTGTTCCTCCAAACATTACAAGCATGAGTACGGACAACCACATGCATGCCAAGAAACGGAGGGTCGGTCAACACTAAACAACCTGGCAAGACCTACCATCGTCATCATCATCATCTGATTCCTCAGCCGCAGCGGGTGCGGGTTTTGCAGCTGCTTTTGCAGGGGTTTTTTTAGGGGGTGGGGCCTCCTCTTCAGACTCTAGACAGACAAATGAAATTAATTAATCCTAGTTTATTTGCCAAGTGTCTAGCACAGCAACAGGTTTGCTCATTTACTTTTGGTTGCTAATCATTACATTATTCATAGTGCATCGGAACTAATGCTTTCCAGAAATTAGAAATTTTGAGTGTTAAATAACACGGCTCACCAGAATCATCTTCCTCATCTTCACTTTCTGCTTTCTTGGCAGCTTTGCCGTTTTTGGCATTAACCTTGGCGCCTTTGGCTGGTGTAGCTTTCTTTACCACTTTTGGTGGGGGAGTCTACAAAACATGTCAATCAGACAAATTAATACATCTTTGTTAAATGGCAAAAAAATATACATTGGAATTTGCATGAAAAAAACCATACATCCTCCTCTTCGCTGTCCTCTTCACTTGATTCTTCATCCACTTCCTTGGGAGGCGGAGGGGCTTTTTTCTTCTGGTTTGCTTGTTTACTTGCTGCCTAAAATGGGATGGAAATCTGAATTAATCGAATCAGTTTATCATTTCACGGCAATCACTGAAGGCCTCATGTACAGTGGGGTGTTGTAATGTCGTTATTGGAATTCTGAGTAAAATTTCGTATTGTACAGCATGCCTACATTCAATAAATTATTGTCTTATGCATTTAGTGTGGAGAGGTCAAGTTCGGAGACGTAATGTGGGCGACGTATGTTCTGCCTCGTGTTTGATTGTGGGGGAGGCGCGAAACCCACGTGGATCGCTACTGCTCTGCATGTTAGCATCTAAGCTAATGTTAAACTATAAAGACAAACAACGCTGGGGGAATTTGTTACGTTATCTACGAAAAAAGCGAGACAACAAAGCAGGATAAAGAAATTACCTCGCAACGCGTAACATCAGAGTCGAACAATCGTTATATATTACAACAGCGAACCCTCGTGAAAATGCCGTCCTGAAACATTTTCCACAAGGCGACATTTTGTGCGCAGTTTGACTGTAGCGATACAAATCCGGCTGTAAATGGAGATCATCTCTGCGACGAAATTGCAGGATCAAGGCGAGAACGCGCACGAATGCCATCTTGAGTGGCTAACCGTTAGCGGGCCGCGCTAGCTACCAACAGCGAGGCAACATGGCCGCTCTAAATCCAGGAAGATGTACACATTTTGCTGCCATTATACTACGTTTGCTCACTTCAAATCTGGCATTCGACGGACGCTTAATTTAATAAAGCATTTAATAGCAGGGTTAGGACGTCATTCCTGGCAGATTATAATCGCATTTCTTAAAAGCGCAACAACTACGGCATGCAGGCCTCATGCGCGGAACCGATCTTCTATCAACGGGAAATGCTCAACACTAATTTTTACAACAAAATACGTATTTGCTAATCTTACCTTGGCTAACTTCACCATCGTGCGAGCGGCGTGTTTCAATGAAATGGACGTTGAAAAGAAGCAGACAAATTACTACTGCATGCACGTGGTGGTGCCTATTCGAATGGGACACTGGACAGGAAAGACAGAGAAGAGGACGCGCTTCTTGCTCTCTAGCTGAGCGCGTTCACGAGAGGCCCTGCCACGTGACTGTGTCGTCCAATAGCACAGGAGCTCTTTTTTATCGTGCCCGCGCCTTGCCTGCATGGAGAAATCAAACAGTTGTTTGTTTCAACGACCTTCAGATAATACAACTGTTTGTTTTGTACGACATTTAAATAATACAAATTAGACCAGTGGTTATTGTAAAAATGAATGGTTGGAAATTCATCGTTTGCATAAGTAAGGTAGCCAATTTGTTGAATTTCCTTCACACCGCACTTTGCATAAGGCCATGCAGGAGGCAAACTGTATGCTTTCGAAATGCAGCTGTCCTGAACCACGTGGTTTAAATATAGCACGGGTAACTTGGTTCAGTCTGTACCACCAGCTACTGTTGCACTGAAAAATCATTCAACCCGTATTTGTAAATTGCCTTTACAGACCCTTTAAAAGTGACTGTTTACAATTAGTTTTAGATTGGAGCTATTGGGATTGTTCTTGATTTGATGTTTGAGTGCAAAACACTGCTTGTAAACCTTCCAAATGCACATTTAAATTGGCACAAAATAATTTTGATTGCAATTATAGCCGTGCATAATAATAATATTGACTTGATTAAGGCAATGCCTTCATTAAAGGATTATCTTATCTTATCTTATCTTACATTGCCTCATAGTTTCTATCCCAAACCAAGCAGGTTTTAAACTGATAATTTCATTCCTGGGTATTCTGAGATTGACCATGATTCACCCAGATTGGAATTTCAGGACATTAAATATGGGATGATACAGCAAAACAGGAAGAGGGAAACATTGCTCATGAAGGTGATGATAATAATGACAAGACTATTTACTTGTAAGTGTGCCCCATGCATTTGAGAAAATAGCAGACAATTTACTGCAAGGCCCCATTATTAATAATAATAAAAAAAACACTTATTCAAAAAAAAAACAAAAACAAAAAATATCAAACAGGACATTTTCACCATACACCAAATTGTGCATAACAAGACCATTATATTGTTTATGAACTACATTTAAAAATAATGAATAAAATTCAATAAAACTAAGAAGTAGTAAAAAACTACTATCAAGATAATCAGAAAATAAAATCTTCATATTATATTCATAATCCTTAGTTAAACATGGTCTTTCTCCTTATGTATGTGTTTGACATTTTATATGATATTTAGCCTTGAATATCATTTACATACATAACTTAAAATTCACACTAACTTACCATATTTTTTTTTCTTCTGGGAAGTGTACTGTTATTATTATCAGTAAGGTTGTTATGGAGATAAAACAACCCCCCCCCACTCCCCAGATGGTACACAAACAGCATGTTTAAGTAATTAACCGTAAAAACCACACTGAGGCAGCATTGCATTATACATCACTCATCTCTTGATCTCTGTGCACACTGCAGAGTGGATATCCACGTCCTCTCAACATCCATCAATGAATTTTCTGTCAAGCATTGGAGCCTATCCCTGATGACTTGTGGGCAAAAGGCAGTGTACAACCTGGACTAGTTACCAGTCAATCGCATACACTGTACAAACAAACAACTATACAGCCTCTACACTACATGCTATGTTTTTTAAAAATGGGAGACAACGTGCTGCGCTCCGCCTTACTCCTAGATAAATTGTGTCAATTCCGCAAGGCCATTTTTTAGCGTGCCATCCAATGGGCCAGTTGGTAGAGCTGATGACCAATTTCATTAGACTCTCACTTGGACAGGCTATGAAATGTAACTGGTGTCTTATGTTTTTCTCAGATTCAATGGAGGACCACTTTATTTCACATTATGATTTGTAGAGCATCGTTTACAGTATACTACTACTGTACTATACACTGTTTTACACGATAGGAAAGTGCCTGCAACATGTCTAAATTAATTGGATCAACAATAATCCGTGTAAATGTGTCAGTTTTCAAGGCGTTACATTATTTGGTGGTTACTGAGCTCATCTTAAACTTGTGTAGAATCATATTATAAGGTGTAATATTGTATGTGGATGCCAAAGGGTAAGCATGCACGGCTGATTCGTCCTTCGTTTGATTATAGCCTGAAACTGTGGAACAGTTTGTCTCAAAAACAAACAAATGAACAAACAAACAAAACAAAACAAAAAACAAATATCAGCTAGTGCATTCTTTCTTATGGTTTCTTCATCAACCTTTCATTCTGTGTTAGCATTACTTCACATAAAAGTGTCCACGCCAACTTTTTGTGTTGGCATTTCCTGTTAAACTTGGTACTATGGTCTGTTTCGTTGAGCATCTCATCGTTTATTGATAACAACTCATGGGTGCAAACTACTGAAAAGCAATATTTTTGTCCTCACTGCCTTTGTACTCACACTCCTCCAGCACCTTTATCTTTGCAGTAGAAGTAACAATTTGAGTTTCTGTTTCAAGCTGCTCCTTCCTTGCTTTTAACTTCTCTTCTTCCATATTCAGAGATTGTTTCTCCTTTAAATTCTCTGCTTTTGCAATCAGAGAAGCGCTTTCTGCTTGTTCCTTATGTCGTGCAGATCATGATGATGATGAAGTCAAACCACTGCTGGTGGACCCGACCCTGAATGTGCATGATCCTGTTGCTTGTCCTGTCGAAGATACACTGTCGTCGGGTCCTACGTCGTCCTTTTGCCATCTTGGAATAATAGTCCCCTTTTCAGTTTTTTATTCTGAAAGTGCTAAAATTCTAACTTTTGGGCCGATACCGAAATGCCTGATCAGTCTCTTTCTCTTCTTCTGATAATAGTTGTAGAACGTTCTCATTTGACTGGACAAAGACGTTGAGTTTAGAAAACTCACTAAAAGGTTCATCAACGGTATCTGGATTTTCATTATTTGTCATCAAGGCATTTATTTTATTCGTTTTCTAGTCATCAGATGATTTTTTTTTTTTTTTTTACTTTAAAAAGTCGTCCAGGCCTTTTTCAGTGTAATTTGTCTCTCTCTTCTGGCCATTATTGGTACTGCACGCGTACTCGCTTATTTCTTGCGTGTCTGAATAAGAGTCCAAATAAAGTAGACCCCAACACAAAGCATGCATTGCTTTCTTAAGTACCTTCTAATGAAGACCACCACAAACTCGTCTTATTTCTCGTCTTTTGGCTTATGTACACAATTTACCAATTCATAATTTGTTTCCTGAAGATCCGTCACGGATGCCTTGAGTTCGCCTCAGCTTGTCGTTCTTTCAGTGAGCGAGGTCCTTTTACTTAATGTAGAGACTAACCTTTAGTTCCTTGGTTTCTGTGAGGGTATGATACAGAATGACCTCTCAGCCATGTTGTTTGCCTGCTATGGTGTGAAAGTAATGATCGACATTGACTGTAAGAATTGAATGTTCTGTACTACAAACTGGTCCTGAACAGTTTGCATTCAGGTTAATTGTAGTTTTTTTCCTTGAATATGCAGATGTATTATTGCAAGTGTCAAGCGATCTTAGGAGACTGCATCGATGTAAAAATGGTCGGAAAGTCAGGGGTATCAACATTTTCCCCTAGATGTGGGGAAGCCATGAGGGTGGCCAGAGAGTGACCAGGGGTGGCTATGACCACCACTGGCCATCATGTAGCTCCTCCAATGGCCATAAATGACTTATCAGAGCCATGGTCATCAAAGCTGTGGAAATACAAGGCAGTATTTCCCAACCTTTATTGAGCCAAGGCACACATTTTACATGAGAAAAATTTCAAGGCGCACTACCAAGCAAAAAAGGTCACAAAAATATGACAGCTGACATATGATGGAAATTTACTCATTTTACTTTACTTTACTTTACAAATTTACTCCATTTACTCACAAACTGACTTTGTCAGTGTGAAATGTGGGGCACTTTAGTTGAGCACAAAGATGAGACTAAAAGTCATGACTTCTCAGTTGTATCAATGGCAACGGGTGGACACACAGTTTTATTGAACCTTCTGCCAACTGGTAGAAGAGCATTTAAATGTTCGGCCTGTCACTACACTTAACATCCCTCCATCCATCCATTTTCTGATCCGCTTATCCTCACAAAGGTTGCGGGCCGTGCTGGAGCCTATCCCAGCTGTCTTCTGGCAGTAGGCGAGGGACACCCTGAATCGGTTGCCAGCCAATCGTAGGGCACACAGAGATGAACAACCATCCGCGCTCACACTCACATCTAGAGACAATTTCGAGTCTTCTATTAACCTGGCATGCATGTTTTTGGAATGTGGGAGGAAACTGGAGTACCCAGAGAAAACCCATGCAGGCACAGGGAGAGAACATGCAAACTCCACACAGGAAGGCCAGAGCCGGAATATGGACCCTGCACCTCAGCACGGTGTGGCCAACATGCTAACCAGTCGACCACCGGGTCGGCCATGCTTAACATTAAAGGCATAAATAGATGAATGAAGGTACAATATATAATAATTTAGAGACAAATTAAGAAGGGAATTTAGATAATTTGCTTCTCCCCTGATAATCTCTCATAGGACACTTGTGTGCATTGCTGTCATTGTGGGTGAAAGCTGATCATACATGGCTGGATTCAGAAATGTCTATTTTTTACTCCAGTAAGTCAGCACACATTTTCTCCTACATGGAAACCAACTGATATATCAATTACCAAGCTTGTACTCCATTCATGAAAACAAGAGCCTGAGAAGACACACATGAGTGCACATGGAATATTCTTTTTTTTTATCTTTTTTTTTAAAACAGTCACAACTATTTGAGACAAAAAAAAAAGTTACAAACAGAATCAACCTGCAGTTTGCATCCTTTTTCAAACTGTTACATAAATAAAACTCATTTATAAATAGCTCTTTTTTATAAACATATAAATAGTCTTAACATAAATACATTTTTGTCAGGAGAAGATGAAGTGCATGAATGTACAGCAGCATCAATTATACAGCTTTGCGGTTTGTAGTTTTTACACCATTGTCTGAACATTTTGTCTGGTATATATCTCTCTATATACAGGTACCTGCATATTTATTAGATATATTTATATG